TCCCCCTCCACTTTCTTGCGAGGAAAGTGCTTTCCCCCTCCACTTTCTTCACAAAAAGTGGAGGGGAAAAGCAGGAATCAAAGCACTTTGATCCCTCCTCCCTCCTTACTTCCGTGTTTAAGACGACCCTCAATTTTTAACCTAAATATTTTAGAAAAAATATTGTCTTATTCATGAAAAAGTACAGTACTTTCAGCACTTCATTATTCTACTGTAAGTTTATTCTACTGATTTAGATTATGATCTAAATCAAAGTAAATCTGACAGATGGTGGCCATCTCTTCCCCAGGTAAATGATGCACATGTACCCACCATCCACCTGATTTCAAAATAATCATTGATTTCTCAAACCAGGTGATTTTCTTCCATTGCTCCATGGTCCACTTCTGATGCTCACTGCAGGCACTTCTGGTGGTGAACAAGGGTTGTCATGGGCACTCTGACCAGTGTGCAGCTATGCAGCCCCACATGCAGCAAATGCAATGTATTGTGTATTTTGACACCTTTCAATCATGGCCACATTACTTTTTTCAGCACTATTTGGTCCTTGTCAAAGTCTCTCAGATCTTCTCACCTGCCCATATTTCCTACTTCCAACACATGAAATTCAAGAACTGGCAGTTTACCTACTACCTAATATATCCCGCTCACTGACAGGTGCTATTGTAATGATATAATCAATGTTACTCACTTCACCTCTCAGAAGTTTTAATGTTGTGGCTGATCGGTATATATTATATCTACAGCATTCCCATTGGGAGATTGCCCAATCACAAATTATATAAGATTAGCCTTCTTCTTCTGGTAAAACCGCATGCATGTGTCATGTCATGCAGATTCAAACATACTTTCCATTAGAGGGAAAAGTATGGTCTTCACACTGTCGTTGAAAACTGGACATCTGCTATTCCATACCCCTGCTGCATGCTGACAGCCCAAAATAGGATGGAGGAGGGTGAGGAAAGTGTGGATTCTGCTGGGCAAATAGCAGCCATTCTAACCAAATTCCTTGTCTGCCCAAGGTGAGCAGCAGAGATGGGCATGATCTGAGCTTCTGAACAGTTGGATCAGATCCACAGGTGCTCTGAGGATACCCCAGATTCTCCACCCCATCTCCTCCCATGGGCATCCACTTACAAGAGAAGGTGGGGCAGGGAAGCCTGAAGTGCCGCCTCTGAATGTGTGCCTGTGGGAGGTGGCAGGATGGGAAATCTAGGACGCCCATGCAATACCTGTGAGCCTAATCTGCCAAACTGTGCTGAAGTGCCAAACAGCAGATTGTACTCATCTCTAGTGAGCAGGCATGAGCTGTTCCAGCAGAGAAGTATTTGCTAGAGTCACCTTGGGAACAGACAAAAGCTGCAGCAAAGTTGGAGGAAACAATGATAACTAGGTCAAGCTCACTTCTGGCATGAAGGGAGAGAAAGTTATGAAGTCATCAGATGCCACAGCCAAAGGAAGGCCAGGTCAGGGACAGAGAGCAAGTATTATGCAATGGAGCAACAGGTATATCCCTCTACTTTTCACTGTTCATCTCTCCCCTCTGCAGTGATCTCACTATGCTGCTTGATCAAACAGGATCATAACTAAGACCGACTGAAATAGCTTATTTATATTTATTTATTTATTAAAAATAGGTGAGAGAAAAGGCAAAAAACTACAAATAAAGAAAAAAAGATCATCTCAATAATTCACTCTAATTTATCTCTCTGATAAACTATTCAACATTTTCCAGAAACGGTGGATGGGAGGAGCCAAGTTTTAGAGATTGTACAACCAAATAGAATTCATCTAATAAACATACTGTGAAGAGGAACCGATGCAAGTGGCTGAACCTAGAAGTGAGCTGTCCCCTCAGTCTTAATGAGGGTGAAAGAGGAGAGCGCAAAAAATGGTCTGAAGCTCAATATAAAAAAAAGATCATGGTCATTGGTCCCATCAGCTCCTGGCAAACTGAAGGGGAAGATATGGAGGCAGTGACAGATTTTTTTTGAGCTCCATGATCAATGCAGATGGTGACAGCAGCCACCAAATTAAAAGACGACTGCTTCTGGGGAGGAAAGTGATGACAAACTTAGACTGCATCTTAAAAAGCAGAGACATCACCTTGCCGACAAAGGTCCACATAGTTAAAGCTATGGTTTTCCCAGTAGTGATGTCTTTCCCAGTAGCCATGTATGGAAGTGAGAACTGGACCATAAAGAAGGCTGACCGCTGAAGAATTGATGCTTTTGGTGCTGGAGGAGACTCTTGAGAGTCCCCTGGACTGCAAGGAGAACAAACTATCCATTTTGAAGGAAATCAACCCTGATTGCTCACTGGAAGGAGAGATCCTGAAGCTGAGGCTCCAGTACTTTGGCCATCTCATGAGAAGCGAAGACTCCCTGGAAAAGACCCTGATGCTGGGAAAGTGTGAAGGCAAGAGGAGAAGGGGATGACAGAGGATGAAATGGTTAGACAGTGTCACCAAAGCTACCAACATGAATTTGACCCAACTCTGGGAGGCACTCGAAGACAGGAGGGGCTGGCGTGCTCTGGTCCATGGGATTACAAAGAGTCAGAGACAACTTATCGACTAAACAACAACAACAAAAGAACCAAAGTAGACATAAAACCAGGATGTACTGTCTTAATACCCTTCAGCATAACCATTAATAACTAACCAACCCCTTTACAGCAGGTGCTGTGGCAATTCTTATGTGGCTTAGATACAACAAATGATTTGGTCATATTATCACCC